AAAAAAATAAAGGTTTTATGTCTTTTTATGCAGCGTATATAAACTTCTGGTTTCAGCAGCATATGAGGGGTTGAAAGTGGTCATTTCTGACTGAGTCCAAGCACCCAAATGTATTCATGATTATTTTTTATTACATTATTTTGCTTTTCTTCCATTTGTTCCTATTCGTTCTTGCTCGTCTTTTCATCCTCCTGCTGCAGACTACCGACAGGCCCACTGCTGGGTTCCCTCTCAACCTTCGGGGCTCAGTATAAAACGGTCCCACTGTTCAGAGGATAAAACAGAACATTGAGATGTAAAAACAAAATGGTGAACATATCTAAAGCAAAAGGAATAAGAAAAAGAAATGCATGAATAAAAGGGAGGAACTAAGAAAACATTGCAGGCAGCAGGCAAATGTGTCGTTAACGAGGAGTTTCTGTGTGATTTTTATTATTTTGTTTTTGTCTGTGTGGCCTGAGCATGAAAATGCTTGTATATGATTAACAACAATATGATTCATATTTTCCAGTTTACTAATCATGTTTATGCAACAAAAGATCATCTTTAATTATGCAGATAATCAATAATAATCAGTAATTTAATCATCATCCTATAAACAAATACGGTAATATTCAGAATAATTATAATTTATAGCATCATTATTATTATCTGGTTGAGTAGCATTATGTCCATACAACATAATCTGCATTTGAGAAATAGATTTAGTTTTAATTAACATTCTCACAAGCAGATGATCTGGCAGCATCTTGTTCTGATCAGATTGTCTTTTTGCTCCGTTCCTGCTGTTTCAGCATCATCACACTGTTCACAGGTTCTGTCTGCTGATGTGTCTAAGAAGTCCTGGTCATACGATATGCTTTAGTGTTGCTCTAGATCATCATCTTTTGGACGACGACAACAACCTCACGGTGTGTTTTCTAATTTCAGGCATCTTGAGGCCGTACAAGAGAGGATTCAGAACCGGAGGAATGACGACTACCTCCAGAGACAGAAGCACGGCCAGGAATGGATTTATCTCTTCGATGTTATTCCGACTCAAGGCAACGTCACAAAACGCCGCGATGGAAAAAACCACAAAGGAAACCACGTGTGGCAGACAGGTGTGTAACACTTTACCTTTGAACTCCCTCGATGCTTTCCAGCAAACGACTATAATGCGTAAATAGGTGTAGAGGACATAAAAAAAAGGAAAGAAAACTGTAGTTATGGACAAAAGCATCCCTGCGATATTGTTGACAGTCGTGTTAACGCATGACAGTTTCACCACGTTCCAGTTGGCACAGAACACTCTCTGTATCTCACGGCCGCACAAAGGGAGGCTGGCGGACAGAAAAACACACGTCATGACAGCAAAGGTGGGAAAAACCCAAGCCAGCGTTGACAGCTTAATCACTTTTCTGGAGGTCATATTTCTGCGGTAGTGTAGAGGATGACAAACCGCCATGTGTCTGTCATAAGCCATGATGCCGAGAATGCTCAGCTCGTAGGCGCCGTACGTGTAAATGGTGTAGATCTGAGTGAAGCAAGCAGGACGGGAGATCAGATGAGTGTCGGACAGGAGGTCCATGAGGAATCTGGGGAAGAAACCGGCAGAACCATACAGAGCGTTGACGGATAGCAAAGCAACAAACACGTACATGGGCTCGTGTAACGTTCTCTGTCGCAGTATCACCAGAATCATGAAGAGGTTGGCGGTGACGATGAAGCTGTAGAGCAGGAGGCAGAAAGCAAAGGCTACAAAGCAGTAGCGTCCAATGTTCACAAACATGGTGAGGTTAAAGTAGAAGGACAACGTGTTGTTTTTCATCACTAAATCTGTGATATAGAACTATGTCTTTAATTTTTCTTTGGTAGTTGTCTGACAAACTGTCTCACCCACCTTGAGAGATCTGATTTGACAGCATCTGTGAAAAAGAACAAAACTTTAAAACCGACATTAGAAGGTAGCGTCATACAGTGTTAGTGGTAGAACTACCCTCGTTAGTTGTGCTATACTCACCAGAGTGAAAACGTGCTCCGGTCTGATTTAGATTTTGCTCTTGGATTAGACTCGTGGTTCGATTTGTAGGCAGATAAAATAAGTAATGGGAGGAGTTATGAGTTTTTAATGTTGTCTGACTCCAGACATCATCAGAGTCGTACTTCTCTGGAGAATTCTGCCACTAATAAGAATCTTTATTATGATTATCACTAGAAATCAGTTGTGAATACACATTTTCTTGTGGTTACTGAGATGAATGCAACACATACGATTACCAGTAAATCAGAAAACCTTGAAAGAGACACAGCATCAGAGGATGTTCTGTTTGCTTCATCACCATCATGATGACAAGATTAGCAGAAATAGAAATCCTTTTTCCATGAAAGAGTCACTTTAATTTTAAGTAAACTTTTTAGAACTTTTGCAAAGAAGGCACAAAACAAATCTAACTGTGAGCTCAGGGCATTTCTATTGGTGTCAGAAGGCAGGCGGTGGAGGATGAAGATGCAAACTGGTCTGTCAACCACAACAAAATATCTCAAGAGCAAGAAACAAACAAAACCAGTCGTCTGTCGGTCTTCAGGAAACTGCTGGTGTATTTTATTACCCATAATACCATTTTATATAGAACGATAGAAAAAGGTTCAGTACGGCCTCATACATAGTGTGTCAAATGCAGTACAGCCAAAACACCAGGATGTCCTACTGCATGTTCATCAGGTTCTGTTTTGCAGAACAATGTTATGTTAAAGCAGCTTTTCTCAGTTGTGTGCATACAACAGTCTGTACTTTGTAAGGCTGCCTACAGTAACGTACTAAAAGTACATTTAAGAAAAAGTACAAGGCCTGAAGCATCGTCAGTTTCTCTGTCTTCTTTCCTAGTAGTGGATAAGGCTGCCATCAGACTCAGGAAAGTTCTTTTCATCTCCTATTAAGCATATAAAAAAACTCAAGAGAAAGTAAAAACAAAATTCAGGACAATTCTTTAGATATGTCGTATTTCCGTGACTCGGTGGTTAGCACCGTCGCCTCACAGCTAGAAGGTCGCTGGTTCGCATCCCGGTGAGGACACCCGGGATCTTTCTGCGTGGAGTCTCCATGTTCTCCCCGTGCAGCGTGGGTTCTCTCCGGGTTCTCCGGCTTCCTCCCACAGTCCAGAAACATGCTGAGGTTAATTGGTGATTGTAAATTGTCCGTAGGTGTGAATGTGAGTGTGCTTGGTTGTCTGTCTCTAAGTGTAGCCCTGTGATAGACTGGTTACCTGTCCAGGTGAACCTGTCTTCAGCCTGAGTCAGCTGGGATAGACTCCAGCCCCCCATGACCCTGGTGAGGATTAAGCGGTGGATAGAGAATGGATGGATGGACCTTTTGCAATCTGACACTTCAAAGCACATAACAATACGTTAATAGTATTGCTGCTACTGATGGACACGTGAAGTGATTGCCTCGTGGTTGCTGCTGAATGGTGGAGGCCAGAGAAGTGTCTTAGCAGAGCAGCATGACGTCACTGTGAAGCTGACCTTTGACATGTTGGATATAAAATATCAGAGGGACCGACCGATTATTAGTCCAGCTCAAGTATTAGATATGATATTCAGTGGTTTTCAAAAAATTTTTTAGTGTCTTTTTAAAAAAAATTTTTTTAACAGACTCCTGATAAAATGAATTATTTCAGATGCACTACTTCTGCTCTGTCTGTAGTCACTCTGTGGGCTCGAGTACTGACTGTCTGACTGGTCGCATGTCACAGTAACGCCCAACCAACACTGAAGGATGTCAGCCCTGACAAAATCATATCAGTCAACCTCTGAAGTGTCATCACTTCATCACTTCATGCTCGTAGGCTTTTGTATGAAACTCTGTCTTCATCGTTGCATAAACTCTTGAATTATGGTCTGACGTTGTGACCTTTGACCTTTGGCCATGTTTCAATCAGTTCATCCACGTGAACGTTTGTGCAACGCTTCAAGAACCTTCCTCCATGTGCTCATAAGACATTGCGTTCATGAGAATCAGACAGATGTTTTACATTTTTTTCTTTGTTCAACAGGCCACAGCAGAGTGTGTGCAGCTGCTGCTGTTGATATTTTCTGTTTGTCAGCTTTGCTCCTGTACATTCATAGAAAACTGGAGCAGGAAGCTCTGTCTTGACTTGGACATCATTATTATGAACAGCTGATTAATTGTACTGTTGTCTCGCAGCAAGAAGGTCGCCGGTTCGCGTCCCGGTGGGGGCAC